CCGGCCGCCGCCGCCGGGTCCGACTGCCGGCACAGCACCTCGGTGGCCACCAATCGGTCGGTCGGGCACTGGGCGGCGGCCAGGGCCTGCGTCATGATCTGCCAGGTGCCGTCCTGCGTCATTTCCTCCTGGATTTGTCGCACCGTGTTGGCGATGAGCACCGAGCGGCACAGGTTGGGCTCCACCAGCATGTGGCACAGCTGGAGTTTGATGAGCGACATGTCCAGGAGGGACTGGCGCTGGAGGCTGTACGAGGGCGACGGCGTCCGGGTGCTCGCCGGGCCCTGCTCGCCGGCTACCGTCGCTGTCGCCGCGTCCTCCGCAGAGTCTAAAAACTTGCGCTTGGTGCCCTTTGGAAACATGTCGTCTTGTCTGGGGAAGGGGCGGGGGGACGACAACAACAAAAAAAATCAGCCATGACCGCCACGTCATTGATGAATCATACGAGCGTTTGTGTGGCGGAACGTTCGTGTGCGGCCCAGTCGGCTTGCGTGCACAGACGTGCACTCGTCAAGTCGTCACAGTCCTTCGCTTATTTGACAGTTTGCTGCGTTACAGATTTGATGTATGTGGACAGTGTTGAAAAACACCCAAAAAGTCTATTTTCATACATCGACACAAACTGGATCTACTTTTGTTTTCGTCGCCGCTCATGTCCGACATTGAAACTTTTGTCAAAAATTTGCTATTTTACACAGAAAACATTTTACCGCAGTGGAGTAATTGCAATTCAAATTTGGATTGTCGTCAGCGTTAGGGATGACGATCGATCATCCGACTCCGAGCGATACTGCTTTTCAAGCCGGCGCCTTTGCATTTTCTTTCAACACTTAGCAGGAAAACCGCAGGATGAAGGCTCCGAAACCACCCCCCCCCCCAAAAAAAATGAAATCTCAATCATGTCAACGCTGAGCAGGCTGGATTCAATTAAAACCAAAATGCCGACTGGCGGCCGACACCGAAGTTCACATTTTGCCAAGTCGCAAGTATCAAATCCCAACGTTTCCTAAAGTGCCGCACGCGACACATTTTTCAACATCTCTGCACGCGTGTGCACGTGAGCCGAAGAGGAAGCGGTGCCCGTGTCAGTCGGCCTTTGGGGGTTCAATAGGGACGGGAGGGCGGGGGGGG